AGATAGCCCTCGTGTAGCTTTGCGCGAAATTCAAAAACAAAACAAACAAAACAAATTATTATGGTTTCAGGAAAAAACACAAAATTACTATTCCTTCTCTAATTAAAACGTTATCCCGTTGTCTTACTCCTCGGATCCTGTAAAAGACAAGTCTGGTTATTTGCTTGATCAGCGACAGTCCTCTTATGACAGATATACAAGTTGTTTGAAATTTGTGTTTAGTAAACAAAATCTTTTATAACTACTTCAGGGTACTATATTACGGCTGCTTTTAGTATAATTGTTTTTTTTATTATTATTAATCAATAATCGTAAGTTGTTTGTTTTTTGTCGCAATATTCTTTATAGCTTCCATTTTTGTTTTAACCAATCGAAAGCTCAATTTGTAATAAAAGGCAAAAGTATTCCGACTTCAAAGAAGTGCGGAATATTTAGTCCGGGGATAATAAACAAAAAATCTAGAAATGTTTTGATTGTTTTGGAGCAAAGCCACATTGGGCTATCTGCTGTATCTACCGCGAGGAACCGAATCCCGGATTTTACCGTTGTAAATTCGTAAACTTACCGATGTCCCACCAGGGGACTCTAGAAAGTAATTAGTTGTTTTTTGTTTTGTTTTTACTTACGAAAACACAACCAAGTTTACAATGTAAGGCTCTTGAAGTTCATTTTGATTGACGTAAGCCTCATTAAGATGCATTTTTTGTTTGAATTAATCCAGCTCTTTTTAAACCGTTCCTTTTTTATTTTGTTGTTGTTAATTCGTTGTTGTTTAGTTATTTCTACGTGGTTAAACTGTATTATATACACGGTGCCTAGTCCATATGGTACCTTTATCACAGATCTCTTCCGTACTAGTAAAAGTTCTTGGAGTGTTGTAAGTGGGTCGATGAAAAATAGTACGAAAAGGGAGAGACTCAACATGTGATGACAATGGTTCTCTCTCTCTCTCGTGCTATTGTTTCTTTGCCCTCTAGCAGCCTCTACAATTCTCGCAATTTTCTGCAATAGGTCGTTACCATGGCAACTACTTTTCCAACTTATAGGATTTTTCTGTACTTATCGGATTCCACTGTACTACTGTACCTATCGGATTCTACTGTACACCAGTCAGTTTAGCCTGATTTATTGTTCTTTCTTTTTCTTTTACTAGGTACGATTAAAAGTGCTGCTTTTGTTCCAAAACGTAACTAGAAGAACATCAAGAATGTTGTTACAGCACTTCCTACTTTTCTGCATTAGCTAATTCGGTAGACATAATAAACGTTCTGACAACTTTGAAATGCGTATTGATATTTTGTTAAATGGTTGTTTGATGGAAATATTATTCTGCACTTTAATTGCTAGGGCAGTCGTGGCCCAGCGATTAGTGTACCGACCTGCCGAGCGAAAGGTATTGAGCCCTCGATACAATGGTGACCACGCTCTACTCTTTCAGCTGTGAGCGCGTTATAAAAGAATCCGCCAATTATGTTATTCGCTTAAGAGTAGCCGCTCTTAAGCAAAAAATACTATTAATATCAACTACCGATCAGAGCAATCAACCTACTGAGATAAAAATAAAAAGTAAATCCAATAATATCGTATAAGGTTTGGCAGCTTAGGAGATTTTGGTTAGTCCTAAATCCATTTACTCAGCAAAATAATACCTGTAATAAAAGTATAACAAATGAATTAAAACATAACACAAGTAGACGCATTAAACATTATAATTAATACTGTTAATAATAGTAACATTAAAGAAATAATAGAGTATACCATATTTACGGAACGCATGAACACTAGCTGGTAGCTTCAAGAATTGAACGAACTTTTGCGTTTCTGACCTGTTTGCTTAACAAGGTGTACATCTTATAAGGTGACGTTTATTTTGAAAGTACTAATGTCAAATACTTGAAATATCTTTTAAAATATTATAATTTGTGTATTAGTTTTAATGATATTCCTTTCTTAAAAGCACGAAAAAAATATACTGTTCAGTTATTGACATAGTTTGATTAAATATTGAAATGTGAAGCTATGAACGTGATTTATTGTGATCATAGTTATCACAATCTAGTTTTAGAATCATAGTTATCACAATCTAGTTTTAGAATCATTATCACAACCTAGTTTTAGAATCATAGTTATCAAAATCTAGTTTTAGAATCATTATCACAACCTAGTTTTAGAATTATAGTTATCATGACCTAGTTTTAGAATCATAGTTATCACAATCTAGTTTTAGAATCATAGTTATCACAAGCTAGTTTTAGAATTATAGTTATCACAATCTAGTTTTAAAATCATTATCACAATCTAGTTTGAGAATCATTATCACAACCTAGTTTTAGAATTATAGTTCTCATGACCTAGTTTTAGAATCATAGTTATCACAATCTAGTTTTAGAATCATTATCACAACCTAGTTTTAGAATTATAGTTATCACAATCTAGTTTTAAAATCATTATCACAATCTAGTTTGAGAATCATAGTTATCTTTCAACTTTTGTAACTGGTAACTATCGATTTTCGCTGTGTCATTCATACATTAAAATAAATATAATGAATTGTACCTATAAACAATATGCTGTTCTTTATGTGAGTTCGGACTCAACAGTTGTGTCAAAGAAAACTTTATATCTGTACATAAATATGAATACGGACTGAACAGTTATTCAAAGGGAACTTCATGCTGTACAGGAATGTAAGTTCAGACTGAAAAGCTGTTCAAGGTAAACTTTATATCCGTACAAAAATGTGAATTCAGACTCAACAGCTGTTCAAGGAAAACTGTATATCTGTACAGAAACACTAAAGGTATATATAAAAAATTAAGCTAATTTTGATTTTACGTCCTTAATTCTAGATAAAGATTGCATTCGTAACTTTGTATATATATATATGTGTGTGTGTGTGTTTGTGTGTATGTGAATTAAATTGTGACGGAGACATCTGTTATCACAAGCGAATTAAACAGTAAAGGCCACATCAGTCTTTGTTTCCATAGCTACTATCTTTACTGATTATTAGTTTGAGATTATCATCTGTACTTGCCTTCTTATTTCAATAGCATTACAATATTATACTAGAAACAAATAGGAATTACATTTGCTGGTATTAGAAAAAAAATCAATATCTATCCCTAAGATTAAACTTCAATTTTATTCCAAAAGATTGATTGGAATAAGGTAAACGTTACCTTACCAAAAATAAACTGAAAGAAAACTAGTGATAACTTGTACCAGATTTACGGGAATTTGTTTTACACGTTAAGCTAATCATAAATCTTCAAGGTAACTCTCCATAGCTTAATAGCAGAGAAGGTGTACTTATGCATTTTTCTTAATTTTCATGTTTTGTACATATATAATGCTTATGAGAAAAACTAACCTAAACAGACAGTTTGTCACATGTATTTCTTGTTTATTGATTCAGTGTTACGAAAGTGTTTTTTAATTCCACGCTGTTGAACACTACGTTCACAAGATTGTACATAAATGTAAGAATTATAAGAATTTTCTATGACACGTTTACTTCAAATGTATTTTGTATTGTAATATCAAAATGCTTGCACGTGAGTTTACCGATATAGGTTAATCTTTCTGATAACTTGCAAGCCTACGTTGTATAAATCCCGGAAGAAATTAATGTGGTCCAAATGTTGCTATAAATTATAATAATATCTAAATGTTTTAGTGCGCCACTATACGTGACCTAAAAACAAAGCTTTACTTTTGCTTCCATTAGCCTGCTAAGTTAAAGGCTTGTATAGCTAAGTTCCCGGTTGTTCAGCGGTAATTTTACGTACTTAGAATGCTAAAATCCGGAGCATGATATCCTGTGGTACACAGATTACATATAACTCATTGTGTAGCTTTCCGCTAGGGAAAACAATAACAGCTAAATAGTGGAATCAGGACTACGTATTTGGCCTTTTTTTAAATTTATAAGATATGCATGTCAAAACACCTCTTAAAGAATGTCTGACAATTCTATTTTACAGAAAATCTATAATATTTCCATCGCTACCTCACTAACAACGTAGAAAATCATGTTCAACAACCACGTACCCCATTTCATAGTTAAAAACAGACCCCGTGGTTCTATGCTTAAAATGACATGCTAATCTCAGTGAAATGTTTTGTCACCAAATGATAGATACATATCAATATAAAATATGTGAAAATTGATTCAAGGCCTTCACAGACATTATGTTAGGTTAAAAATCATCCAATCAGAAAATTACATTAACAACAATGAGTCATCTAATTTCTAAATGTACAGACAATATACTGCTATTTGGGATAACTCCTGATTTAATTATAAAAACTGACAACGTTCGTATTCTTTGTCATGCATTTCATTGGTTTATTTCCTTTGCCACAAAAGTCTGCTTAGATGACAATATAAGTCTCTAATTGTGTAAAATACTGGAGCATAGAATTTAGTATTACAAACTATAATAGCATAGATATTTAGAAAATATAAAAAACTTACAGATGACAAGAATGGCGACAAATATGCTGTAAATAAACAACTCCCTTAATGTTGTTCTGATGTACCACTCCCTGTCAGAATTTTCTTTTTTCATCTGGCGTGTGCTCCAACAGCCTGTATGAAAACATTTGTAACACCATCATTTTAGATAACACATTTATTAGTGAAATAATAACTCGTTTCTTTTCTTTATCTATGTTTCATGTGCTTGAAAGTATGTATAGTTCGAAAAGTATTTAATAATCTTTCTAAAATATTTTCTCGACTTCTAAGTTCTAGGAAACATATCTCACAAACTGTTAAGCAAAGACAGGACAAAGTTAAAGAAATAAAAATGTGGAAAAAATCTATTTTTAGTTATTTTTATTACTATTATCTAAGGTTATTAATTCGATATTCCCTCCATCTAATGTCTTGTGTTAATAAACTGTTATTTTATTAAAGTGTACAGATATTCTCTTAATATAATACTAATTACAAAATAACGCTTTTTTACTCTCATCTACTATTCTTACTTATTGTTCTAACTGTTATGAAGTTAAGTGTAAAAAATGTCGGTTGGAGTTGAGAGAAGTGAGAAAGTGGTGAGTTTTTGTCAGTCTCCAAGGGAATAGGGGATTACAGCACTCTTAAATCATTACAAAATGATAGGAGTGGGCGACCACTTGCTCATCTGCAATGGAGATTACAAGACCCCTATGATTATGAAAGTTATAATCCAATATACAGGAAACAGGTGCAAGGCTAAATAGAAAAGGACCTATTCGGCGTGGGTTTGAGAAATGAATATAAAAAACATAAGTTCCACGAAGAAAAAAAATCAGGTGGTGTGAGAGAGAGTTAATAAACGGAAAGAGGCGAAGGAAGAAATTAATATGCTGCCAGTAAGATGCAAGACCTATTCCTAAATCTATGTTTTATTGGTTATAATAATAAACAGAAAATTTTTATGTTTACATTGGTATGAATGGTTGATGGACATAAGAAGGGAAAGGAAAGTGCCTATATAGCACGATTGTAGCAAAGTGGAGTCATGGTGATAATAAAACCAACCTATATTCCAATTTCTTGGTTCTATCAATAGTACTTGTTTATTGTTCCAAACTATATTACTAGTTTATAATTTTGGGTGTTGTGGATACAGAGCAGACTTAGTCAAGAAAAGACAAAAGCTTATTGTAGCTATTAAAATTTTTGTTAATTGTTTCTTTCTCCCAGGTGGCTCAATGGTAAGACCATTGGCTTCTAACGCCAAAAATCGGGTTTTGATACCCGCAATGGGCAGAGCACAGCTTTGCGCTTAACAACAACAAAAAGTCTTCCTAAATAAATTGTTTATTGTTCCCTTCTCAGTTGTGTAAATTGTTTCTGTGTGTTTATTTGTTTATTTTACATACGTTTTGCTTGAAAACTGAATTTACTAAAATATTCTGTACAAAATGTATGCCTGTGCAATTTACTTAAGCTTTGTGATTTATCAGTCCATTGCATCTGATACACGAAATAATCTACAAACAGTCTTACAGTTTCGTATTTGTATATCGCAGAGTCTGAATAACTTATTTGTGTTTTTAATGAATTTATTTTAGTAAAATGTTGTCAGGTTTTTATGCATATGTGGATGTACGTGTTGGCAGGATTCTTTACAAACAGCACACAGTCCACTTGTTTTAAAATAATGTATTAAAACACGTCAAAAGTATATACAGATGTTCGTTACACTGTTGATTCCCACAGTTGAATTCAGAGCTTTAAATAATTATCTTTTTTCTTCAAAAGTCCACTACGGCTTGGTTCAGTTACTTCAGAACACAACTGACAAGATGAATTATTTTTCTTTACTCTGTTATTACAATACGGTCTGCGATTATTACACTATAAAAGTCGACACTATGCACACTCTATGGCTAAACTCACAATCATCCAGTCTATATCTGTTTCTTTTTCTTTTCCTTTTATTTAACTTACTTTAATGTTCGCACTATATAAATTAAATAATACTTTCGTATTAAAGTTCAAATGAACAGTCGTGCATATTTAACAAATGTTATATTTCGAAATTCATCTTTCATGTATGTATGTAATTAATCAGTTACACTTAGACAATGTTAATTCATTGATGATTTGGTGAATGATGATTTTGTTTGTTTGTTAGGAGTTAAGCGCAAAGCTATCTGTGCTGTGCCCACTACAGTTATCGAAACCCGATTTTTCGATTTTTAGCGTTATAAGCTTTCAGACTTTCCGGTTTGCCATTGAGGAACCGGTGAATGATGATGATATATTTCGTGCTGATATATTGGATTTTTAACCAGTATTTATTTACGGCAAAAGTTAAAACAACGATTTTTTATTCTGAATCCGCAACTGAATAACTTAGATAACTTCTGGCTTCCCTAATTACATTATATCCAATTCTCGTTCCGTAACTGGTAAAAAAACAAATTGTTTGTTTTAGCGCAAAGTCACATTGGGTTATCTGCGCACTGTACACCTCGATGAATCGAACACCGGATTTTAGTGTTGTACGTCCGTAACTTTGCGAATCTATAGATACTGATATGTATGTGTATACATATATTGTATATATATATATATATATATGCACCTCAATATGTACGTTATACGTGAAAATATATTTGCCGAAAGCTCGGTAACATATAAGGCCGAAGTCTAAGCTCAAGACGCAGATAGCCTAGTTACTTTGCGCCATGAAACGCCAAATAACCAAATAACTAATCTAAGCTCAATAGAAACTAAAACAAATTCCAGTTTATACTTTTTGCCAAATTTGTTAAATTATAAGGATGTCCGACAAAAGTATTTGAAAACGTGTTAATTATCTAATTATTTGTATCTGTAGTTTTACTAGTGCATAAGATGATGTATAAAAGCTTGTATTTTGATATTTGTTTTACTAGTGCATAAAATGATGTATAAAAGCTTGTATTTTGATATTTGTTTTACTAATGCATAACATGATGTATAAAAGCTTGTATTTTGATATTTGTTTTATTAGTGCATAACATGATGTATAAAAGCTTGTATTTTGATATTTGTTTTACTAGTGCATAACATGATGTATAAAAGCTTGTATTTTCAGATTTGTTTTATTAGTGCATAACATGATGTATAAAAGCTTGTATTTTCAGATTTGTTTGCGGTATTAATGATTCGTATGCCACTTATTATATAATATCACTTTTAAAACATTGTCATTTTTGTATATGTATTAGTGACATTGAAATGAAGATCCAACGTACAAAATGAATTTCTTATTAATTATTCGTATTTAACATAATCTAATCCTCCAGTAATATCGCCTCATTAGTATTTATTTAAGTTGGCAAAAGGACTGGAAAAATACACGTAAGGTAATAAAAGTTTTAAACATCGTATAATTGTTACTATAGCAACATAGCAACTAAAATACGTATAATGCCGATGACATCATATTCCTCTATAGAGTTGCTGACTGGACACTGCTTTATGAGTCAGTACATAATAGTTGAGTGCTGCCACGCAACTTTTTGGACCCATGGCAACTAATTTTGTTTCCTGCCATAACAAATTGAAGCTCCACAGGCTTTTGTGGAATGTTTATATGAAGCGACGGAATGACGAAAATCCTAAATAATAAATCGTAAACCGCATGATCTACTGGCATTATCTCTCATAAACTTTTATGTTGTTTCACTGGTTGTTGTTGTTTTTATTTATTTATTATGATAACATATTACAGAAAAAAAGCCGAATAAACGTCCCTAATTAAGAAACAAACGTTGTTGTTCTTTTCATTTTTTGTCATTGTAACAGAAACATCGAATTATATTATTTTCTTTTTTTATACATCCGATTCATTCAACTATAGTAAACAATATTTAAAATATTTCTTCCCAGGATCAGTACCAAGAAATAAAAGAAAAGAATAGCACGCGTTAGGTTTTGTTGACTTGGTATAACTTTTATGTGCATGTCAGACTTGTTTTCGTTACATGGAACCATTTCATAACTAGAGGGTTTTGTTTTTGTTTTGAATTTCGCGCAAAGCTACACGAGGGCTATATTCGCTAGCCGTCCCTAATTTAGCAGTGGTAAGGCAGCTAGTCATCACCACCCACCGCCAACACTTGGGCTACTCTTGTACCAACGAATAGTTATAACGCCCCCACGGCTTAAAGGCGACCATGTTTGGTGGGACGGGGATTCGAACCCGCGACCCTCAGATTACGAGTCGAGCGCCCTAACCACCTGGCCATGCCGGGCCTCAACTAGAGGGGCACTCAGTAGAGCGCCACCCTGATATAATACGAAAATGTGTCCATATGTCTGTCGTTATCAACGGACACGGTACATTATTGGCAGAACAACGAGGAATAATATTCTATACGAGTCCACCAAGTTTTATCAAACTAGTGTAAAAAATCGGTCCCTATGTAACAGATAGGGATTTTTTTAGATTTCCGTGACCTTTCTGTGACCTTGATCCTCCTTAAACTAATCACTTTTAAGTTTGGTCATAGTTCAGATGTATACCAACTTTCGTCCAAAAACATTCAGCCGTTTTTGAGAAATCTTGCTGACAAACATACACATAACCTCCGTCCACCTTCGGTAGAATAGGTATTTAAATTTGTATACCAAGGTTTGTATACATAAGAAACAACTTTGCCATTCGCTAGAAGCTGTTACGAAGTTATATCTTAGCAACTGGCTTTTAATGAGTGAACGGAACACAGAACCTGTGAAAATATATAAGGGTCCAAAATTTATAGCAGTAGCATGTCTATTTTTATTAACTTAATCGTTTTTGTTTTAAAGTGGAGTTTAACGAAAAATATATGTTTTGAACACTAATCTGAAACAGTATCAAAAATCGTATGGATGAGCATTGTTAAACACAATATTTAACAAAGTGTATCTAAAGGATTCTGTCAATTCAGCGATATGTTTTGAATATCTGAAGACTATTGCTAAAGAAGGATTACTTAGCAACAGAAATATTTAAAAAAGGCATTCAGGTAAACAATTCATATATTCGAAAAATTTTTTTAAATTAAAGATAACCATGCACGTATATTTTAAATAGAGCTACTTTTAAATACTTATACTCT